AATTGGGGAATGGCTGAGCAAGTTGTGGTATTTGAATGTAATGGAATACCATTGTACTATAAGAAATGATGAACAGGCCGACTTCAGAAAAAAACCCGGAAAGACTTGTATGGTCTGATGCTGAGTGAAGTGAGCAGAACCAAGAGAATGCTGTACACAATAACAGCCACGTTGTGTGGACTAATATTGATAAACTTAAGCCTTCTCAGCAATACAAGGATCTAAGACATCTCCAAAGCCTCATGATGGAAAATGCTATTCACATCCAAAGAAAGAACTATGGAATTTGAATGCATATCAAAGCATATTATTTGCTAACTTTTTTTCTCTTCTGCTGAGTTTTGTTTCCTCTTTCTGGTGGTTCCTCCTATTGGTTCTAATTCTTACTTACAACATCAGTAATGTGAAAATATGTCTAATTGGAATGTGTATGTATAGCCTATATCAGATTGTGTGCCATCTTGGGGAGGGTGGTGGGGAGGAAGGTGGAGAAAAATTTTAAACTCAAAAGCATATGGAAGTGATTGTTGATAAATCGAAATAAATTAATAAAAAAAAGAAAACTAAAAAAAAAATAACCTAAACCAAATGGCAAAAAATGTCCAAAAAGCCAATGAGGAGAAGAATGCCTTCAAAAGCAAAATTGGCCAAATGGAAAAGAATGTCCAAAAGATTACTGAAGAAAATATTTCCTTAAAAATTAGAATAGAGCAATTGGAAGCTAGTGACTTTATGAACAATCAAGACATTGTAAAACACATTCAAAAGAATGAAAAAAAAATAGAAGAAAATGTGAAATATCTCATTGGAAAATAGATCCAGGAGAGAGATTTTTTAAATTTTTGGACTACCTGAAAGCCTAGATATCATCTTTCAAGAAATGATCAAGGAAAACTCTCCTGATATTTTAGAACCAGATGGCAAAATAGAAATTGAAAGAATCTGCCAATCACCTCCTGAAAGAGATCCCCAGAGGAAAACTCCTTGGAATATTGTACCCAAATTCCAGAGTTCCTAGGTCAAGGAAAAATATTACAAGCACCCAGAAAGAAACAATTCAGGTATTGTGGAAACACAATCAGGATAACACAAGATTTAGCAGCTTCTACATTAAGGAACTGCAGGGCTTGAAGGACAAAGGAGATCAGATTACAACCAAGAATCACCTACCCAGCAAAACTGAATATAATCCCCCAGGGAGGAAAATGTACATTCAGTGAAGTAGAGGACTTTCAAGCACTCTTTTTGAAAAGACCAGAGATGAATAGAAAATTCGACTTTCAAACACAACAATCAAGAGAAGCATGAAGAAGTAAACAGGAAAGTGAAATCATAAGGGATTTATTAAGGTTGAACTGTTTACATTCTGCATGGAAAGATGATATTTGTAACACGTGAGTCCTTTGTCAGTATTAGAATAGTTGGAGGGGAAAAAATTATATATATATATATGTATAGAGATAGATAGATAAATAGAGGATACAGGGTGAGTTGAAGATGAAGGAGTGATATCTGGAGAATAAAATTAAGGGGTGAGAGAGGATTATACCGGGAGAAGGAGAAAGGGAGAGGTAGAATGGGGATAATTATCTCACATAAAACATATAAGAAAAGGCTTTTACAGTGGAGGGGAATGGGGGAAGGTGAGAGGGAATGAGTGAATCTTATTCTCATTGGATTTGGCTTAAAGAGGACAACATACACACTCAATTGAGTATGGAAATCTATCTTACCCTACAGGAAAACAGGGGGGAAGGGGACAAGACAGCAGGAGGATGATAGAGGGGAGGGCAGATTGGGAGAAGGAGTAATAAGAAGCAAACACTTCTGAGGAAGGACAGGGTCAAAAGAGAGAATAGAATAAATGGGGGGTGGGATAGGATGAAGGGAAACTGACATGTTTTTCACTACATGACTACTATGGAAGTGTTTTGCATAACTGCACATGTATAGCTTGCCTTTTCAATGAGGGTGGGTGGGGAGGGAGGAAGGGAGAAAATCTGGAACCCAAAATTTTAGAAACAAATGTTAAAAAAATTGTTTTCACATGCAACTGGGAAATAAGAAATACAGGAAATATACCCCTAGGAAATGGGGTATAGAAATCTATCCTGCCCTACAGGAAAATAGAAGGGGAAGGGGATAAGAGAAGGGGGGGAGAGATAGAAGGAAGGGCAGATTAGGAGAAGGGGTATTCAGAATGTATGCCATCTTGGGGTGGGGGGAGGGACTAGAGAGGAAGGAAATTTGGAACTCAAAAGCTTGTGGAAGTGAATGTTGAAAACTAAAAATAAATAAATTACATAAAAAGAAGTATGATTAAAAGGTAGGCGCCCATTTTCTCCCTTGTTTTTCTATATTCCAGTGCATTTTCATGACTGATTAATGCTTAGATGTTTTAGTAATCACTGTAACCAATTTCTAGGGTTTAGATTTAGATTTATTTTATATAGGCCTTGCTAGAAATGTTTGTAAGAGATTATGTAGGAGATCATGGACACAACTGAGACTGGTCCTGTCTCTTGATGGAGATAAAGAAGCTGGATGGAGGATAATTCAGCTTGGTCAGGAGATATTTTTCCTAGCACTAGGTCTTTTTGGTGAAGGGAAGTGGGGTGGGATCTGGTTGGGGACTTTCCAAAGGATGTTCAACCCTGTGTTTTCTTTGTTATTTTTTTTTCTTTTTCCTTTGCCTAGGCAATGGGATTAAGTGACTTGCCCAGGGTCACACAGCTAGTAGGTGTTATGTGTCTGAGGCTGGATTTGAACTCAGGTCCTCCTGAATCCAGGGCTGGTGCTCTATCCACTGCACCACCCAGCTGCCCCTGTTTTCTTTGTTATTAAGGATTCTGAAGACTACCCTTTTGCAAGTCAGCATAATAATGGACCAATTGCAGTCTTAGTTTTGTTTGCATCACTGGGCCTTATGTAACCCCCATTAGCTCCTCTGATTGTAAGGCATGTCTCTGGTCACCGAGGGCTTCTATTATTGTTAATTGCTAGCCTTGCCAACAAATAGATTATGCTCAGGGTTCTGTGCTTCAGTTTCTCGTCATTGCAGATTTTTATCATGAAACTTTCTCACCTTGTATCATTTTTTCAGTCACTGCTATGATCATAAACAATGGTTTCTAGAATGGAATCATAATTCTCATCTGGGGCTGAGTTGCTTTCTAGTATTTTTCACCTACTGTCAGGAAGATATATTTTGGTACCTAAGGAATTACCAGAGTGATTCTAGAATCTTTAAAAATGAAAACACAGCATTTTAATTAACAAGATGTTTTTTTACAATGAAATAAGGGACAAAAATTACACAAGAAATGAAGTAAAGTAACTCTCCTTGATAGAAGCATACAATGTAAGTATATTTTATTTTATATACACTCTCTAGCATGAAATGGAAAGACTTCATGGTCTCTTATACACATAAATTGCATCTATTTAGCTCAGCAGCAATTCCTTCTTGGAAATAATAATTCCTCATTGGAGACTGAAAAGACATTTTTATCTTAAAATTCAGACTTCCCTTAGGCCTATTTCTCCCTTAACTCTACCTAGGCTTTATTAATTGTTCTTTTCATATTATCATCTTGAATTTCACATACCTTCTTTAGAACATTAATCAGCCCCTTGCTAGAATCTTTGTCATTATCCAAGGACAAATTTTCCCTTCTCTTTCATTTATTCTCCACATAAATCAGGCAATCCTAATTCTCTTCCAGGTTTTTTTTTTAATATGTAATAGAAGAATCATGTCAGCCTTGATCTTTCTTAAATTACCTTTTACAGAGGGGCTTCAAGAGGTTATTGATGCTCATGGAGTAGTTTTTCCATTTATATTCTTTATGAGAAGGTAGAAATGGCCTCTTTATGAATTGTATCTGTATATTCATAGTAGAGGCTTGATACACACTAGTTAAGGTGATAATTTTCACAAATGTGTCTGATTGACCACATTCATAGTTACTAATTTTCATCATAGAGTCAATTGAAATGGGGGAAAATCATAGCTGCCTGCTTCTAATTGACAACAGTTTCTTCTTTTCTGATCCCTTTTACCATGTTTTCTGCTTGATTTCTTTATCTAACTTGAATTTTTATGCTAACACAATATCATGTATTCTTTTTCTAGTGCCCTTTTCAAGAAATTTCTTCCCTCTTCACATCTTCACAGTCTTTAAGTAGCTCCTTCAAAGCAAATATCATGGTTTGCTGCCACCACTAAAGATAACAAATGTTCAGGCACTGGACTCAGCCACGAAAGGGAGAGGAGGCCTATGGACCCAGAACAGGAGGAGCAGCTATAGCCTCTAATGAGCCTCGGACAGATTTGCATAAATTACCCTTATTGCTACCTGTCCATGGACCTGTCTGACAAGTCTGTGAGTCTCTTCTACTTTGCCTACTCTTTACCCCACTCCCCCCTGCTTCTAGCACTAGGTATCTCTAGAACTTTTCAGTGTTGCCAGAACCACCACCCACAAAGAGCTACCTCCATCCATGCGTATTGCTAGCATTTTGAGGAGGCATTTTTTCCTCTAGAAATTTTTCCTGAATACAATTATATCTTCATGCTATGTTAGAATACGTTCCCCCCATTTCCTTTATTTTACTAAAATTAAAAATTTAATAACATTTTTGTTTTTAAAAGTCCTTATAATCTGAGGCCCTAAAATGTAGATTGCATAGCTGAGTTTTTGCTAAATTAAGTATGACTACATTCTCCAAAGATTTAACTGACTCCTGCCCTGCTTACTTCATTGAATCTGTGATACCATCAGAGACTTTTCCCTGCAACATTGCAGATTACAACCTATTTACACTTAACTCTTGTTCATATCCTTCAGTATATCTGCCACATAAGGACCACTGAATATATTTGTGTCTTTTTCTGGTTCTCTTTTCATTGTGAGTTGAGTATCCAACAGGCTGTCCATGTTGCCATTTACTTTTCTGAGGCCATCATTTATATTCTTTTCCATGTTCAGCCCATTTACAGAATCAAGCGGCATAATCTGCTCAAGCCCCACAATTGTATCTCCATTCCTGTGTGGGTGAGCCTTATCAGAAGCATAGATCATCACCCCGTTGTTGTTAAAATATGAACTTTTATTTCAGAGGGAAATTTGAGGTCATTGAAAGCACAGCAGAAAAGCAAAAGTAAAGCGAAGACACTCCTATGGCCTGCTTTCCTCTTACTCTCCTTCAGCTCTGAACTGAGGTCATTATCCATTGGCTGTGTCTGCCCAAGATGATTATGCCAATGACACAATTCTGTACAAATGTCTGACTAATAAGCATTTTTTGTTTACTTGAGTTTTCATGTGTGAATGGTTTGGCCAAATTCTCTATAGAGTGATTATGTATCTCACTGAGGCAACTACAATGCTTATGGGCTTGATGCAAGTTATCTCTTATCTATCTCTCTAGTTTGCCCTATTTTGCTATAGTTAGCTCCTCTTTGTGTGTATATCTATACATTGGAAGGGAGAGAGATACAGAAAGACAGAGAGAGAGAGAGAGAGAGAGAGAGAGAGAGAGAGAGAGAGAAAGAGAGAGAGAGAGAGAGAGAGAGAGAGAGAGAGAAACAAGAAATGAGAAAGGCCAGAGGCTTAGAGATGTCATAGAAGTTTCATTCATATATACGTAAATAGATATATAAGTACATATGAATGAAACATCTATGACATCTATAAGCCTCTGCAGAGCCTTTCTCATTTCTTATTTTGGAAACATAGAGATTTTTACCACTTCTCCTATGCCTTCCTCACTGATCATTAAAGTGCATGTTTAAATTAGAGAGTCTTTTAAAGTTCTATCTAGAATTTCTGTATCTTTCTATCCTCTGTAACAAATGTGGGTATGTAAGTTATTTTTAAGGATTATTTTCCTGAAGGATTTTTTTAAAATTTTTTCATTAGCACCGTAATGCAAGATGACTAAATGTTCAAGGACATGATGTTTCTTGTTGATTTTGGATATATGACAAAACCATCCCTATTGATTTATTTGCCTCTCCAAGGAGAACTTATGAGCCTACCTCCTATTTAATTATAACTTTCTTTTGTTTTTTGGTTTTATTTATCATAATACTAGAAACTTTGATATGATTCAGTTCTTCCAAGAATTTGTCCATTAATTGGTCACAGAAGTACTTTAAGTTCAAAACCATAAAAGTGCACACAAGACTTTTAAGTTTATTCTGCATCATCCACAATTTTTTCCATCACTTTCTTGAGTCTAGAAAATCGACAAAATTATACATCAAGCCCTGATTTGTAATGTTTCCAGATTTCCCAGGTATAAAGGCTCATGCTGAAAATTTAACAATCCTCTCTCATGAGCTAGTACAAGCTGGCTCCAGCAGACCCCGGAACAGAGACTTTCCTTTAGCACCCAGGATGCTATTATGATCCTGGTTTTGACTCTGTTTCATTTCACAGACCATTTATCACTCCTGGCCCTTCAGTTCCATATAACCCCACTGGTATGGATCTTGTCTTGAGTCATATGTGATTTTTTCCCCATATAAGCACAGGAGCTTCTCACTGTAATCCCTTTTCACCATCTTTATCAGTCCTCCCCCCAACTGCACCAATCAGAACGGCATCAATCAGTGCCATGGAACCCCATCAGTAATATAACTTGTTAAATTTCCATCCCAACCCCCACTTCATGTGGGATCAAGGAGAATAATAATATATTGCTCAGCAAATCAATAACATAAAAATATTTGGGGCAGGGGGAAGAAAATGTAACTGACTTAGGAAAACAAGCTTTTAACAGTTTCAGGGGAATTAAATATAGAAATAGATATTCTCCATTGCAAATATGTAATGGATAATATTTCCTTTAAAATACTTGCTAATTCAATTCAGGTAGGTCTTATCTTCCAGCAGGTCTGAATGAGTAAAATTTAGCTATATTTCAAAGTACTTTACTGTAAAGGTATGCCTGGAGTTCCTTTCAAACAGAGACTTCTCTGGGTCATGCCTGCCTGGCAGGCAACAGAAACATCCTGCCTACAATATCAACATGGTGGAGGAGCATGATCTGTGTTTGGCACAGGAGCTCTTGTGCCAAATTTGTGAAGAAATATTCAAATGGATCCATACTAACAATCTCAGAAAACCCTATATAAATCATAGACCAAAATTTACTTACATATTTATATTACAAGTAAGGAAGAAGGAAAACCAAATTATTCCATTTTTTTCCTTTGAGATGCCATAGACCATGTAAAGACTATACCATGTGTAGACTATACAAATATGTACTTATCAAGATATATCTAAATTAAAGTATAAGGTATAATGCATCCAGAATTTCCAACATTTGAAACACATTAAGTCCCTCAAATTTTAAGAAAACTTTTGTTTTAATTTAAGCATTTTAATGTTTTATATCAGATTTGTCATCAGGAAGTCATAAACAAGAGTACTTTAAATACAACTTCTCTATATCTGTTATAGAGGTCTGCCCTTATAAAAGCTCACCTAAAAGTTTCATGACACTATTATTTATTAAATTTCTGATCTTTCTTTGCCATCAGATAAGTATTTAGTCTTTTGTTACTGAAACATTCAGTAATAGGCTCAGATATAAAGATACTTTTCACATCTGTACAGGGTTTTCTATTTTACTTTGCTTAAATAAGCAAATGAATTTAAATTACTATGGAGATGGATACATTGATAAATTCAAAGTCACAGTAAAGTGTGAAGCATTTTTAATTAATCCTAAATGCTTTTGTTTGTTCTGAATTTCACCAATAATAATTATTACTATCCTCAATTGTATTGTGTTTAGATCCATTAACTGTTTAAAAATAAATACAGAATTTTATTTTAATTTACTTTCGTATTACAAATAACAGTTATACTTAATATTAGCTAAGCTTATGTTCAATGTTTTTAATACTCACGAATATGATAAATATGTTTACAATGTTTGGAAAACTCTATCCCTAGATCAAAGGCTATGCTGAACTTTTGCATAGAGATTTAATGTTTTGTACAAAGACAGGCTAAACAATTAATAAGTCTTACTAGATCTTGCCCAGCATATCCAGGAGAGGAAAATGCATAATTTCAGCATTTGTAATTTAAAATGGTATAAACATTCAAATCCTCAAAGAAAAAAATCCCTTAATGGATTGTTTTTCTCTTTTGTAGGATAGTCACACTTCTCTGACTGGCAGGGAGTAGGTACATGAAGATAGAATAAAACTCTCTCCTTAACCTTTTTGTTCTCTAGTGCTCCTCCTTCTTTGCTTAAAAAGGTGAGGCAATTTCTGTTCTCTCAAGATGATGTTTTGGGGTTTTTTTTGGCTTCAGTAAAATCTTGTTTCTTTTAAGTCACTGATTCAACTCAAAGTTACACTCTTTGTCATATTGTGGAATTTAGGCAATGAAAGAGAAAGCTAATTATAATAACACCTCAGCTATAGAAACTTCATGTATGGGGCAACTACCCTCATCAAGAACAACCAACAATCAGAAATTTAAGATTGGGATCTCTAGATTAGAGCTTGATAATTAATAAATCAATTAACAAAGATTTATTGCTACTTGCTGTGTGACAGACACTGTTTTAAGTACTGAGGGTATAAAGAAGAGCAAAAATAATCCCTGTTCTCAAGGATCTAATATTTCAATGGAGGAAACAACATGTAAATTATTAGGTATTATAATAATAGTAGCAACAACAACAATAATAACCAACATTTATATAGTGTTTACTATGCACCAGACATTATTATTTTTTGTTTGTTTGTTTTTTGGCTAGGCAGTGGGGTAAAGTGACTTGCCCAAGGTCACACAGCTAATAAGTGTTATGTGTCTGAGGCCAGATTTGAACTCAGGTCCTCCTGAATCCAGGGCCAGTGCTCTATACACTGCGCCACCTAGCTGCCCCTAGACCACACATTATGCTAGGAGCTTTATAATTATCTCATTTGATCCTCAGAATAACCCTGGGAGATAGATGCTATTATTATTCTAATTTTCAGATGAGGAAACTAAGGCAACCAGAGGTTAAGTAACTTGCCCAGGGTTACACAGCTAGTAAGTGTTTTTTGTCAAAAACTTTTTCTGCATCTATTGAGATGATCATGTGATTTCTGTTAGTTTTGGTGTTGATATGATGGATTATGCTGATACTTTTCCTTATATTGAACCAGCCCTGCATTCCTGGTATAAATCCTACCTGGTCATAGTGTATTATTCATGTGATAAGTTGCTGTAATCTATTTGCTAATATTTTGTTTAAAGTTTTTGCATCTATATTCATTAGAGAAATTGGTCTATAATTTTCTTTCTCTGTTTTGACTCTTCCTGGTTTAAATATCAGCACCATATTTGGATCATAAAAAGAATTTGGTAAGATTCCTTCTTTACCTATTTTACCAAATAGTTTATATAGTATTGGAATTAATTGTTCTTTAAATGTTTGATAGAATTCGCACGTGGCCCTGGAGATTTTTTCCTAGGGAGTTCATCAATGACTTGTTCAATTTCTTTTTCTGAGATGGGGTTATTTAAGTATTTTACTTCCTCTTCTGTTAATCTGGGCAATTTATATTTTTGTATATATATATCCGTTTCACTAAGATTGTCAAATTTGTTGGCATATAGTTGGGCAAAATAATTCCTAATTGTTGTCTTAATTTCTTCTTCTTTGGTGGTAATTTCACCCTTTTCATTCTTGATACTAGTAATTTGGTTTTCTTCTTTCTTTTTTTAATTAGATTAACCAAAGGTTTATCTATTTTATTGTTTTTTTCATAAAACCAGCTCTTAGTTTTATTTATTAGTTCAATAGTTTTCTTAACTTCAATTTTATTAATTTTTCCTTTGGTTTTCAATATTTCTAATTTGGTGTTTAATTGAGGATTTTTAATTTGTTCTTTTTCTAGTTTTTTTAGTTGTATGCCCAATTCATTGATCTCCTCTTCTTCTATTTTACTTATGTAAGCATTTAGAGATATAAAACTTCCCCTAAGAACTGCTTTTGCTGCATCCCATAAGTTTTGATATGTTGTCTCATTATTGTCATTCTTTTGAATGAAATTATTGATTGT